GCGGAGCTGGTAAAAGACTTAGCCTAAGGAAAGTCTCCTCCCTAGGCAAAATAGAAGTGGATGTGGGAGAATTAGACCTATCTAAACTGATTAGTGGATGACCCTTTACTGTAACTAGTTAGTTATTATATAATAGATATAGTATACTAATTACCGTGTTGGCAGACACAGGAGCGAGAGGAAGCATCTTTATTAATATATAGAGGGTAAAGGACGCAGCTTAGTTCTTTAATATCCCCTTATACCCCTTACTGGAACTAGTGGGCGTTAAAGGATTTAACAGCTAGCCTAGGACCCTGATCACTTATGCCATCATCCTACACCTGTGGGTAGACGGACGACAATTTTTGAACAAACTAATGCTCATCACTAACTTAGGGTATTATAATATTATTATTGGCAAGACCTGGATGGCAAAATAAGACGCCTGGTTAGACTGTCAGAACAACTGGCTTATATGGCTAGAATAGAGCCCGACACTAAATAAAGAACTTTAGGAGAAATAGTCTATGGTGTTGCCTAAGACAATACTACAGCGGAAGAGTAAATTAACGGTGAAAAAGGAATTCTAAGAGAACACAGTTCGTCGTGATGAGAAGCTAATAATAAAGATAAGAGTAGAATAATACTAATAAAGGAATTAGACTCATTACTGACCACCCTAGATAGAGGCTATTCACTATTACAGTAACCTGGCCAAGATGGAGCGGGAGCTAAAGAAAAGCATCGTCGATGAAGGGGATTAAGTCCTGGAAAGGAAGGACTCCTTAAGACATAATGACCTAATGATGATTAACATTGCTGTTATTAGGGCACCGGCGTTCCATCGGCATATAAAGAAGGAGGATTTAGAGATCTTTGTCACTAGCCTAATAAAGATTAAGTAAATTATTAAGGAAAAATAATAGGATTAATAGAACTCCTAGACCCGGGGAGTGGTACTCGCCAATGTGGAATAATTGGATGAGAACCTATCTTAACTTATTCTAAAGGAGTATCACGATTTCTTAAATATCTTTTCTAAAAAGAAGTTAGACGACCTGCCACCCTATTAAAAAGGATATAATTATAAGATCTAATTGAAACCTAATATATCCGTAGAGGAGGCCGTCGAATACAGTCCCCTATATAAGTAATCCCTTAAGGAATTGGAGGCGGCCCACCAATATATGATAGAAAATCTAGGCAAAGAATTTATTAGCCATGCCAATTTACCTTATGCCTTATTTATCCTAATAGTAAGAAAGGCAGATGGAGGTCTATGGTTCTACGTGGATTATTAGAAGCTGAATTTAATTATAAAGAAGGATAGATATCCCTTACCCCTAATTAATAAACTGCTTAAGCGACTGAATGGAGCCCAAGTGTTTATAAAGCTTAATATATAATAAGGATTTTACTATATATGCCTAGATCTAGAGGCCGAAGATCTGACTGCTTTCAGAACTCACTATAGCACCTTTAAGTATAAGGTTATGCCTTTTAGGTTAATAAACGGTCCTGCCACCTTCTAGTGATTTATTAACAGCATATTTATGGACTGTCTGGACAAGTTTATGATGATATATATAGATAATCTACTTATTTATAGTAAAAATAAGGCTGAATACTAAGAATATGTTAGAGAGGTTCTAAAACGCCTATGAGAGGCGGGATTATAAGCAAGTATCAAAAAATACGAGTTTAATGTTCAAAGAACCAAGTATTTAGGATTTATCATCACCACCTAAGGGATTGAAGTGGACCCTGCAAAAACCGATGCGATCTATAACTAGAATTATTTAATAATAGTGAGATCTGTGTAATTATTCCTCAGGTTCTGCAACTTCTATTAGAGGTTTATTAGGAACTATAGCTATATAGCATGACTGTTGACAGCCCTGATTAAGAAAGACCTCCTATTTAACTAGAATAAGGACTGTGAACAGGCATTTAAGGAGCTGAAACGACGACTAATAGAGGCACCTATTTTAGGCCACTATGATCTAAAGCTCCCTACTAGAATTGAAATGGACACATTGGATAATGTAGTGGCTAGAGTACTATTATAGAGGTTCAAAGAAGATGAACTCTGGCATCCTGTTGTATTCTTCTTAAAGATAATGTCGCCACCGGAACGCAATTATGAGATCTATAATAAGGAATTGTTAGCGATTGTTCAGGCCCTAGGAGAATAGAGAGCAGAGTTAGAAGGACTACAAAGAGATGAATACTTTAATATACTCTTAGACTATAGGGCATTAGAGTACTTTATGATAAAGCGATAGTTAAACGCACGGCAGGCATGTTGGTTGGAGTTGCTCTCTTAGTTTTACTTTATTATCTATTACTAACTAAAGAAGGAAAACATGCTGGCAGATGCCCTAATAAGAAAGGAACTAAAGAGGGGGGAGAATCATCGTCTTTAAATACTATTAGCTATAGAGGTGCTTAATAAATAAATCTAGATAGAACTTAAGCTCCTCAAAAGCGGGAGTTCCAAGTCAATAACTTATACAACGCTAGACGGCACAGCGTTAGATAATAATAATTTAGATGACCTAATGACTAACTACTTAATCTTTAATGATGAAGTATTAGATGGGTCGTCAGTATTGGATGAAGATAATGATGGAATGATTTAAATGGCTCCCCTAGATTAGGACGTCTATATTCTAGATAGGCTGCTCTAAGAGAACCGCACGGCGACCTCTCTACAGACATAACGTGAGAAGGCCAAAATGGGAGAGGCACCATGGACGATGTAGGAGGGACTACTCCTATATTAAGATAAATTAGTGGTTCTAGAGGAGGGCGACTTAAGAGCATAGTTATTAGATGAGATCCACTGATAGCCGTCGACTGCCCACCCTGGACGGAACAAGATAAGAAAGCTCCTACAGGACCGATATTACTGGCTTGGTTAAAGAAGCGATATAGACTGATATATTAAGAACTGCCTTATCTGTTGTTATTTAGAGAATCCTAGAGACTAGACGCCAGGGCTCCTATAACCCCTACCTATTCTAGAATGACTATGGCAATACATCTCAATGGACTATCAATCTTTCCTAAAAGACAACGACTCAAAGGATGCTGCCTTAGTGGTTATGGATAGGTTAAGTAAGAAGACTGTCTTAATCCCCTGCTTTAAGACAGATGGCGCAAAGGAATAGGCGGAGCTGTTTATTGAATATATATATTGACACTATAAAGCCCCTGATTCTATAGTATTTGATAGAGGTCCCTAATTTATTGCCGAGTTCTAGTAAGAGTTCTGCCGCATTTTAGGGGTAAAGCTGAAGCTGTTAACGGCTCATCATGCATAGACGGATGGTCAGACGGAGATTATAAATTAATATATTACTTAATGACTATATCCCTTTATTAACTACTATTAATTAAATTAGTTAAAGCTCCTACTATTGCTTAACCATGCAGCTGCCATCTTGCCCCACGAGTCGACAGGAGTGTCGCTGTTCCTAGTGGATTGAGGTTACCTATTAAGAACCTCGTTTAACTGGAGAGATTGGAATAAGGATGAAGACCCACCCCTAATATTAAGGATAAAGATGGAATGACAGGAGGCGGAGAAAAAAGCCAAACAGCTATAAGAGGTGTGGGAATTCGCGAGGAAGAATATGAGAGAAGCCCAGGAATACTAGAGAACCCAGGCGAATAAGTACAGGAGGCAGATTGACTTTGACGCCGGTAATAAGGCCTTCCTTATGATAAAGAGCTATAAGACGGACAGACTAAATAAGAAGCTGGATTACTAGATGTCAGGTCCCTTTCTTATTAAAAAAAGAGAGGGCAACGCCTTCCGTCTAAAACTCCTCGACTTAATGAAAATCTACCTAGTTATATCCCTCGACAAGCTGCGAAAGGCGCCAGATAATCCCCTACCAGGACAGATTGTTGACCCGCAGGAACCATTAATAATAAACGGCCAGGAAGAGTGGGAACTGGACGGTATATAGGCAGTATGCAGCCATTATGGTAGACTGCAGTACTGGGTCAATTGGTTAGGACATAATCTAGATAATAAATGGTACCCAGCTGGGAATTTCATGGGAAGCCTGCACCTCCTAAAGGAGTTCCATGAGACGCATCCCGCTAAACCGGGCCCGCTAAAAGGCCTAGAGAAATGGCTGGCAGCCTGGGACGCAGGCGAGGACCTAGAGGAGGATAGTGATGATGAGATGCTGGTTAGAAGTGTAAAAAGGGGCAGGCCTGCAAAAAGAAAAGAATTAGCAGATGGGTAACCTTCTGCGAATAATGTCTAGATAGAGCAGCCGTCCCGTCGTTCTTAGAACATCGCGAGATGAATTCCCCTTAGGAACAGAGGGGTCCAAGTAAAGCGAAGTCTTAAGCGACGGGCCATGGCGCGGAATAGGGTATCGAAAGAGCCACAGTGCCCTTGTTGGCGTGGGAGCGTTGAACACGGATTCGTGGGAGAATCGAAGGCTGAACGGGGGGGTAATGTCATGGCGACGGCGAGGTCGTTTGTATGCCTTAGGCAGGTCGTGGTGAATAGGGCTGCTATTCCTGTTTTAGCTTAGTGCGGGAAAGGGGAGAGGGATATCAGACGCGCCTCGCGACGCACCTCTCCCTCCTCTCCTCTTTCCCCTCCTCGTTCGAATATTTTAGTATTGAAGCCACCAATTGATTATTCATTTGCTTAGGGCCGTCACACCCATCAGTAATTGTGCAGACGCAGCCTCGTCCTGGCAACTTTATGTCTGTTCATGTGCATCTTTTGGTAATCGTTTTTAGCTCGCACCTGGTGATGGTACGGCTCTCACGACGAGATTCGCGGACGGGAGCTTTTGTCCACACGTGAATGAGCCAGAAGATATGGTTGCATCTGCGAGGCAATGCTGGTTGACTGCATGATCTGCCACGTCCACGCTGCATGAAGCTCTCGCGGTGGTCGTAGGGGCTACTGGATATAAGGTGGCTTGCAAACGCACTACGAGATCTGTTGAAATCTCTGGATCTCACTCATAGGAGTGTAAGACACCCTGAGTGATGGTTTATGGAGATTGCGGACTTCGAGGATGTAATATTGACCGTCAAATGGAGCACTACACCGTTGTAACAGCGGCCAGTCTTGCCTCCGGAAATGAGTGTGGTCTGTGTAGGGATGGCGGTAAATGAGAGCATGTATAGAAGTGAACGAGAACGATGCTGGTCGAAGGTTATCAGGTCATATCAAGCGAATTGCTACTATGTACGTGACGTGAATATTCGGATAGTAAAGGAAGTCTGGAAGAATTGCTCAAGAACACCAGTCTTTGTATTAGGAGCAGTGTTCATATCAACCCAATGTGCCTTCACGATGGCGGGGATATCGGGGGACATGTGGCGCCTCTCGAGGCGCGGCACAACATGCCTAACGGGGAAGTCAAAGATGATGGCAAGTGAGGCGTGAGCGAGATCTGGGTCGAACATGGCGGACATAGCTCTAGAGAGGCTAATGAAGACTCCGATGAACCTGCTTAGAAAATACATGCCACATACTGAAGATAATGAGGTACGCTCTGAAGCTGGGCCTTGGCGTGGTGCGGTGTTCAAGGGGTTATATAGGTTAAAAGGGACGTTGGCTCTTCATAATAAAGGTGATGTGCGACTGCTGAAGTGGCAGTCAGGTGTTGGAGCTCACCGACCATCTGAGACCTCGCTGTCGCCATGTGAATGGCTTCGATTCTCGAATATATAAGGCAGCGGCGGTGTGCAACGATCAGCAAGTGGCGCGAAGAAGAAGAGATACCTAAGCTTCAAGGACGACACTGGGACATTCAAGTGTGAAAGTCTCCATAGCTGCTGGCTGCTGGCCACTATCAATGGTATGTGCTACGTATATAGTACGTTTTCGATGGAATTGTAAGGCCGGCGCCGACGTGAAACCGACGTACGTACCATGTACGGGCCGCTTACCAGGCACCTTACAAAGCCACAAACCATGCAATACCAGGAGGACCTAAACGAGCTATGCTGACATGGCACCTCTAGCCCGCTTTGAGCACCCAGGTCTTCTACAGATGAATAAGATGGGTTGTTAGACTGTGAGAGATCAAGCAATTGGTTCCTGTTCTATTTACTACGTACCTTGGACCCTACATTCCCCTAGAGCTTGCTGTGGGCAGATCGTCCCGATATACCACATCATACCGAGGGTGCCAGGTACGAGAACAGGAATGGGCTGCGAAGTTCGAGGACATCTTTGCTTTGAGTCTTGAGAGATCCATCGTATAACCAGTGAAGGTGCAAAAGTCTGGAGACCAGTTTATCACTTATAGAAATGCACTCATGGACGATGATGACGTTGCTGGGGCATCGCCCTGGCCACCTGGGATAAGATGTGATCTGCCGAGGCGGCATGTCAGAAGAACATGTAGGGTTGAGGCTTTAGGCTATAGGGGAGAAAGCCTTCAAGGCAAGAATCAGCTCGCATGGCTCAGTTGGTAGAGCGCATGACTAGTAATCATGAGGTCCGCGGTTCGAATCCGCGTGTGAGCATTTTTTTCGTGATTTGCTTTTTGATCCTTCGATGTCGGCTCTTCCTATCATACCGAAGCAGAATTCGGTAAGCGTTGGATTGTTCACCCACTAATAGGGAACGTGAGCTGGGTTTAGACCGTCGTGAGACAGGTTAGTTTTACCCTACTGATGAAGGTCGCCGCAACGGTAATTCAATTTAGTACGAGAGGAACCGTTGATTCAGATAATTGGTTTTTGCGGCTGTCTGACCAGGCAGTGCCGCGACGCTACCATCTGCCGGATAATGGCTGAACGCCTCTAAGTCAGAATCCGTGCCGGAACGCGGCGATG